GATGAGATCTCCTCTGGTCTCTTGTCCATGGATCCATTAAACAAAGCATTCAAGCAATCCATATCTATTAAATAAAACAGTAAGAAAAGATAAACACATTGAAACTGCCATCCATTAATGCCTGCTGTTCCGAGGCAAACATAAGGATCAAATTAAAGAGGAAAAGCAAGAGGGGAGGCAAAGACAATTACCTCAATGTGTCCCAGTGGCATTCTCCGATAAGTGCGATAAGAGAATTAAGCATCATTTCGATATACTCTGCCTATTTATGAGGTGTTTGCACTGCACAAAGTCACTAAGCAAAGTAAAAGAGGGAGAAGCAGAAGAAGAAGAAAAATAATTAAGTAAATCCAGGCATCTACGCAGCCCACAGCAGCATCACCAAGTGCAGGGTCAGAACCCAGACCTCCTCTGGCTATTCTCTGTGCTCCTAGGGCCCAACCTTGTGAGGTGCTGAAAGCCTTCTGCAAGATGCTCAATGGCTTCAACTTCCATTCATTTCACTGGGGAGCTGGAGGCACTCAGCACCTGACAGAATCAGACTCTAAGAAAAGACTTACCGGGCCAGATTCTGATCTTGACTCCAGCCCCTTTGCACCTCTCTGGCAGGGAAAGGGGGATGGAAAGGTGGCAACTGTGGAGGAATCCCGAGCAGGCTCACCCGGGTCTATGAAATGTGAATGCCAGAGGGCACAGGAGAGGATGGGAATTCCAGAGATGGGAGAGGAGCTGGAGTGGTCGCCAGCTCTCTGAATGGCCCTTGGGGGCAGGTACAAGTTGCCAGCACATGTTGCCTCCCTGAGGGGCTCTGGAGCAGCTGAGGGTCCAGCCCTAAACTATCATCAGATTGACAGAATATGTATAACCCCTTTGTATATCAAGTGTAACTTTGCCTCCAGGGGCCTGGTCCTCCTCCCACCCCACCCCCACCCTCCCGGCACCAATTTTACACCAGTGTAACTTCATTTCCCACAGTGGAGCTGGTCCTGATTTATCCCAGCAAGAGGAGACTCAGATCCTATGCATTTATGCTTTTCACACAGTCCTTCATGGAGGACAAACATCTTCCTTCTATTCTGAGTATCATTCTATCTAGAAGTGCAAAATATTAAACTCGCTGACCCTGGAAATCTCCTCTTTCCACATGCCGAAGCTGATCCTTCTCGATAAAGGAAGAAAAATAATTAATGCAGCACCAGTAGAGGGTTACAAATCCAAGGTTATTTCCTCCGAGTTACTGGCTGGCATATAAAGGTAACTTTCCCTGACTGAATTATGAGTTTATTAGGCATGTAAGACATTCCTGCAGCATGAACAGGCGACAGCATCCCTCTCCTGTCCAATTGTCAGCCGCAAGATTTGTACAGTGTATAGCTGCTACTTTGAATCAGAGTTTCTAAAAGTTCAGACTCCTATCTCCCCATTCATCTATTTCCCTTGCTTAGCTGTTTATAAATCGCCTAATACCTTAGAACCTCCACTTAATTCTTTCCAATGCAGCTGTAGTGTTTTAATGAAGACACTCTAAGCCGATGGGAGAGAGTTCTCCAGTCGGTGTGGTTAATCCACCTTCCCGAGAGGAAGAAGCTACGTCAGTGGAAGAAGTCTCCCGCCCGCATAGCGCCGTCTACTTGGGGGGTTAGGTTGGTATAACTGCATCGCTCAGGGGTGTGTGGATTTTTCACCCCCCTGAGTGACCTAGCTATACGGATACAGGTCTGTAGCGTAGACCAGACCTCAGATTCAGTGGATGTGACATCCATTCTCTCCTCTAATCCTCGGAATCTTGAAGCAAGAGTCACTTTCCTGCTCCACCAATAAATGGCTCCGCTTTTTAAAGAGACCCCGCACCCCAGCTTCCCATTTTGTGCCTGCGGTTCTGACCCCTCAGATGATTACTGGAGTGATTGATTGTATGCAGGCAGCTACCTCCATAACTTGCGGGGGCAACCATATAGTCAGGCAGCAATTGCACACGTAGTTAATTGTGTTTCAAAATCGCTTCCATATTCACAGAAAATTCCAGGCCCTTAATATCAATTAATCATGATGTTAAAGTT